TGGAGAGATAAGAGCATTTTCAGAGATTACAAAGAGAGAAGGCTGAGAACTTCTCTATTATTTTAGAGAGAGACATAGTGGTTGAAGGTTTGAATGAGCAATAGACATGTGGACTTGTTATGGGGACTTCTTCACGGTATGGTTTGAAATGATGGTTCGATGAGAGGTAGAGGGCCTTTCTCATTTTTCTAAAAGGCTGTACAGTTTTGGTTTCTACAAAACAATAAAAAAATGGAAAGGACATCAAGAGCTATTTTGGGCTCCGGGGTTGATGCAAAGAGCCTTTGGCTTGGCTCTGGGCTCGAGGCAGAGGGATGCAGAGCATCCCATGTGAATTCATATCCAAACCACAACTAGGGTTGTGCACGTGTGTGGCATGCTTGTGCAGCAAGTAGGCTGCAGTATGTCGGCCTGCCCTTTCTTTTTCTTTTCTCACGGCCCATCAGCATTCCACACGTGAAAAGCTTAGAACATTTTGTTCGTCCTTTTTCTGCGTTTGACCCCTATGTTCACTCTTTTTGTTTATTTTGTTTTGTTTTTTTTCTTTTTTTTTTCTGTTAGTTCAGTTCTTTTTTGTTTTTTTTTTTTTGTGTTCTTTTCCTGTTTTTATTTAGTTTAGTATATTTATTTGAGTTTAGGTTCTTTTTATTTTCTTTTTCTTTATTTATTTTCCACACCTTGATGACACTGTGTGATTTAAGTTTGAGGGTGGGAAATAAGAAATTTTCTTTTTCGTTTTTAAGTTAATATCCATAGTTTATTTTAAGCGTTAGAACAAATGGACAAGGTGAAGGTTAATTCCATATTAGAGTCTTTTCTACTTATCGTCAATTAGACATTAATTCACGAATTATACTTTGAAAACTTGCATTATATATAAATGATTATAGTGTGTTTAAACTTCTTTCATTAATTACTGCATATTTTCTACACTCACAATGTTTGCCAGCTCGCTATATAATCAACTTAAATCAGTTAAATCCATCATACAATGCATTTCCTTCCAATTTTTTGTGATAAACTAATAGATAATTGACTAGATAAACATCCTGCAAAGTTTCAATAAAAATTTCCAAGTTTTTCTTACAATTTCTGTGGTTTTTATTCAATTTTTATCGATATCGATAATATCCCGATATTTCCATCGATATTTCCGTGTTTTTGGACTACCGATATTTCCGATATCATCGATATTTTATACCTTGGTTACGACAATGGTGGTCGTGTGGCTCCATGGCGGTGGGGCTCCTCCTGCCGTCGCGTTGAGCCTTGAGGATCGCTGTTGTAGGGCTATGTCCTCGCCTCCATTCTCCGATCCAAATTCTTGTATGTACGCGGTTTCGGTCGTCGTAGTTTCTGAATTTCCTACCATTGTATCATTTCTCCAGGGATTGATCAAGAAACTTTTCTAAGAAAAATTAATTGATACGACGTGTAAGAAATTCAACATAACAGAAAATTCAAGAAACAAACGCAAGAGGTTTCTTCGAGTATTTGAATTAGCTCTCAATGAAAGTACCAATCAACACCTTTGATCAAAGACCTAAGCCTCACTCACCCACGAGGTGGAGGGGGGATTAGGCCAATGGATCTCCGATGCTTAAGTTAGTTTATCTAAGAGAGAGTAAAGTGTTTAGGGCATTTTAGGGGTAGCTAAAGCCCTGAAAATATGGTAGAATATGGGGTATTGATAGGGATAGGGCCGGCCACAATGTTAGGGTTTTACCCTACACGTGGCAGCATCCTATTGGCCTATGTGTTTATGGAGAAATATTCTCAAAATATTCTCAAGATATTAAATAGGAAATAATATCTTGAGATAATGGTGTAATTATCCCTAATTTATTTAAATTGGGATTACTTACTTGATTGGAGTCAGTCTTCAATTGGGAATGTATTAAAAATAGGATTTGGATAATTAATTCTTATCTTTAATTCCGTGCCAATGGCAAGTGAGCTGTGGGTAGTCGCATTCAGCTGCTAAGACCTTCAGGGGTGTGAGCTACGCGTGGAAGTATCTAAGAAGCCTGCCCATTTATTGAGGGCAATCTTGTCTTTCTTGAATAAAAATTCACGTGTCGCCTCTAGAATTTTTGGGATTATTTTAGGCTCCACAATACTCATGCTCATAATCTTACATTCTCCCACTTGAGCAAGTATAAATTTGAAATACAATATTCATTCGAGTTGCAATAAAAGTGATCGCTTAGTCTTTACTTTGAAAATTCATCATACACAATCTACCTATGCATTTCAAAATATAGAACCAAGAAATTTATAACTACAATCCACAATTTAATTGTCATTCTAAGATCACATACATTTAATATGTTTATAACAATATGATCAAACTGTATAAGGAGAACGTAAACTGTCTCCCCCTATTCACTAACTTTAATAAAATAAGTACAACACATATAGCATAACAATCAAATCTGGAGTTCATTCCAAAATAATGAATAACACAACTTTAATTCAAACAATTGCCCGAGTAAAATGACAAACTGATCCTCAAAGAATCAAACTGAATTAACTTTATCTTTAAGAACAATCAATCACAAAAGTTTGAAAAGATTGAACTTCTTAAATAAAAATTAAAACTGAACTAGCTAACAGCAAATACCAGCTGAAAGAAAAACTAAATAAAACTTAACTTAATCATGTTTGCACCGCCACACTAACCTTTTAAACTTCATTGCAGCAGCAGCAAACCCGATGACTAAAGCCTCACTATTGCACTAGCTACAACTCCAAATTCTCGAACTAACAAAATCACTCCCACTGATCAAGAGATCCTAGCAATCTCATCCAGTAAACTTTCAATTTAAATATGTCAACTGGCAATGCCTTGGTCAAAGGATCTGCGTTTATAATTGTTTTTGTATCTTTATTGAAGTAGATAGCGATATTTTCATACGTGTAATTGTTTTATATCTCTCTTATAGGTAAATGAAGATGTTAAAAGTTTTTAAGGAAAAAGGTGTTTTAGATATTATTATCATAAGTAAATAATTGTGTATAATTAGAATTTTCGATTTAATTCCATAGTTACTACTCATGGGAAAATAATCATACAAATAAGAAATGAATGCAAAAATTAGGTTCAAATGAAACCACATAATGTTGGGTTAAACCAAATGTTTATTGTAACTGTATATATGCCAACAAATATGTTGGACAGGATCGAAGAGAATGATTTGCATGACACAGATACACTGCCATGATGGTGTTTCGTGCCTATGAAATAAGCACATGTTTAAGTTTTTGTTTACCAAATGGATTACAAGCTACAAATGCTATTTGATTAATGAAAAAACAAAGAAACGAGATTGCCAAAGCAGCTACTCTTAGAGACTATATTGTGACTGTCTTAATCTCTCAAAGCAATCTACAACCTATTTTTATAAACCAAAACTTACGAAACCTAATATAAAAATACCAAAACGGCCCAAATAATAAAATGGGATAATTTGATTGCGGTCCTTAATCCTTAACATTATTTGATTAAAACCTTAATAATATTCAAAGTTTGATCAAGGTCCATTGACTTTGTACACCTCATTATATTACTATTAATATTTATATTTTTATAGTTTTGACATTAATTGTTTGATATTTTATGAGATTTATAATCATATAAATTTAAAATCCCTTATTATAATACTATTAGAAACGGTTACAATAAAAAAATTCAAACATTTTAATTGAATAAATGGATAAAAACTATGTAAAAATAAGAAATAATAAATGGCAAAAGAATGTATCCATAGTGTTAAAAAAATTGGTACATTTCACATATAACAAAGTGGTACATTAATAAAGAAGAATGGGTACATTATAAATAAATTAGGGTACAAATAAAAAATAAAAAATTATGAGTACAAATGAATTTTAAAAAAGGGAAAATTAGGTTTACATCATTCTTTTTGTTACTCCATTGATTAAAATCCTATTTATTTTTAATTTTTGATCAAGGTCATTGGGTATTAATAACATCATTAATTATTTGAATAATAAAATATTTTTATTTTTAAATATATTCCTTTATTGTTAAAAATGTTACAATTAGTATATTTATATTTATGGTTAAATTTTTTATCATATATTTTTATTTTTAGTTACCAATTTTTAATTTGCAAATATTTTTTAATTTGTACCAATTTTCTTTTCATTTTTAATTTGTACCCATATATTAGTTCTTTTTGTGCCCATATTTTTTAAAGTTTTATTTGTGTTTGTACCCATGTGTATACCATTACGTGACATTGTATATTTAATCAATGATAGAAAAATTACATATGGTATATTTATGATTTATGCCTAAACTTTATATCATAAATTTATATTTTTAGTTTGTACCCACTTTTAATTTGCAACATTTTTTTTTAAATTTGTAGTATTTTCTTTTTAGTTTTATTTTGTACCCATTTATTAATTTCTTTTAGCATCTATATTTTTAAAAATTCATTTGTACTCATAATTTTTAATTTTTAATTTGTACCCTAATTTATTTATAATGTACCCATTCTTCTTTATTAATGTACCACTTTGTTATATGTGAAATGTACCAATTTTTTTAACACTATGGATACATTCTTTTGCCATTTATTATTTCTTATTTACATAGTTTTTATCCATTTATTCAATTAAAATGTTTGAATTTTTTTATTGTAACCGTTTCTAATAGTATTATAATGAGGGATTTTAAATTTATAGGATTATAAATCTCATAAAATATCAAACAATTAATGTCAAAACTATAAAAATATAAATATTAATAGTAATATAATGAGGTGTACAAAGTCAAGGGACCTTGATCAAACTTTGAATACTATTAAGGTTTTAATCAAATAATGTTAAGGATTAGGGACCGCAATCAAATTATCCCTAATAAAATACTTAAAATGCTAATATTTTCCAACATTCTTCCAGTTATGCCAGATTATTGTAATTAATTTACTTTTATCTTTCCTTTCTAAAACAAAAGATAAGAAGCATCATGATATAACTTACAAGGAGCTAATTAGACGGAAACAAATTATAGTAGTACTAGTTACATGTATCTCGCAGACTAAGTACGTACATGACATTAATTAATAACCTTGGTTAGAATATGCTTATGCAAAGTTGCAAACAACATGAAGAATGTTCACATCCTTATGAACAATGCTGCGAGATATTTACGTATACAGATAGATGCTTCAAAAACCGGCCACGAGTTCTTATCTTAAACAACATTACTTTTCGGGTTGTTCTAGCTGCTGCCGATTATATCTTTGTATGTAGCTTTAATCTTCAGTGTCAAAGCCTCTCTACAATTCCAACAAAAACATGTTATACAAACTTTTTGGATAGATTTTATACCAAAGTAAATTAATTGAAACTACTTATTTATACTCTCCAGTCAAGGTAATGAAAAATTGAGACTCACCTGTCTGGTTTGTAAACAAGGTTCTTGTATGCAAACCACTGCAAAGATCGAAAAGAAAGCTAGGTGTTTAGAAATTGGTGCAGCCTATCAAGTTGTACTATATTGATCAAACGGTTCTTATTCATGTGCAATAAGTAGTGAATCTGATTCTTTTCCAGCGTACTGTTAAGTTGAAAATTTTCCAAAAGAATTCAAGAGCAAAAAAAATGACTTACCCCAGTGTAGCCAATTCCTACAAGCTCAAGAACACCAGGAACTAAAGGAAGCCTATCAATTGCCTGTTACAATCGATGCCATCACGCAGAAACCGGTCAGTGATGAATAACTGAGAGTAAGAAGTTACTGAATTCTACAAATTTAAGAGCAACAATTTGTAGTTATTATTGGGAAACACACCGAAATCAGTCCAGTGGAGCCCCATAGTGCAACAGCACCAGCTACTGCAAGTGAAGAAACTGCATATTTATCTTCCACTTTCTCCCACTAGACACCAAAAGCAATTCATTCTTGTCACTTAATTTTCTGAACTCACTAATACAAAGGAAGATGTAATTAAATTCTAAAAATATGGATTGGCTTACAGCTTCTTGAACGGTCTTCACAATCTCTGGCAGCTCAGTTACTGCAACTTCTGCTGGTGCTTCCCCTGTCGCCATGGCCATGACATTGCGCGCAAACTTACGACCTGAAAAAAAAAAAAAAAAATTTGAGTATATAGCAACATGGTAATGTTCTTGTTCCGGAGATCTAGTATGTTATGTTACCAAACTGTCAATATGAACTACATGCGTTCAAATAAGATTTCACCATATTACCAACCGTCTGGATTGGTCCGATACATACATACATACATACATACATACATACATACATATATATATATATATATATATTAGTACTTTATAGATCCTAGTAGTATTAATCATAATGCAAACTAATACTAGGGACATATATGAATGGCTCACAGTAGGCAGTGGTCTTCCCTGCGTGATTTTGAGAATGAACTGGCGGTGGAGGAAGGGAAGGCAGGGTCACACATTGTGGTGATGAGGCAGCCGAATGGCGAGGAGCCTTGGTGTCAACTAGAGTGGACGAGGAGGAGATGGAAAGTGTGGAGGAGGTGGAAGCCATGGCTACTGGATCCCCTACAGGTTAATTAAGTCCTAGAGATTCTGAGGCCACTAGGATGAGAAACCTGATGCAGCCTGATGAGTTTTAGTTTATCTAACTAGTTATCCTTGTTCTTGGGTTTGTAATTGTGGAGGAGTTTGATTATTTTGCAATGGACAGTGGAGATGCTGCTCTCTCAAAGATTTGGAGATGGACAACCACTCATTGCTCTTTCATTAGGATAGTGTGCAGGATAGGCATTTTGTGGTGTTTGATTGGGGAGGAGGCTCTAGGTGGACCTCTGTTGTGACAAAGAAAAGCCTTCATTGTATTATCTTCCTCCCAAGGGCCAAATGTCAGATTACCTTCTCTTTTATTCACACATACAGAAAACCTGTTCTTGTAATAAAATTTTCCCTACGAGAGGAGAAGGGAGTGAAGATATTAGCAAAATGTCTCAAACATGTCCATCATGTTTAATATGTGATAGGATGTTGACGACCACCACCCAAATTTTTATTGAAATAAGAACTATTTTCATTTGATTTTTATACATGTTCACCCTCTATCCACTTTTAATTTGTTTCGCCTGCAATGTATGTTGGTGCACATTACGGTTGGTTTCGTGCTACGTGGATGAATTAACATATTTAAGGTAGTTCAACTTCCGTTACAAAGAGATAAGTTTCTTCTGTGTCTAATTAAACTCTTTTGAGCCCTTAACAATGAAAATTTATTCACATTTACCTCCACCATTCCTTGAGACCAAACAATAAGAGTGGCCTATGACAAGTCAAATTTCAGAAAACACAGCAACTCCACCTCTCCCAAATTGCCCAAACAATTACCGCCTAGGCTATTGAGCTAAGACAATTACTACCTTAGTGAACAGTAATTGCCCAAATGCATATGCACCTCTAAACTGAATTTCCTAGACTATTGGTATTAAAAATTTATTTTTTTATAAAATAATAAAAGATGATTTTTTTTAAGTTCCTGTAGGATTTTTAACCAATCTTGTCACGCCACATGTCACAATAGAGTGCGCTGAACCTTACAATGGATTCGCCATATAATAATGTGGTTCAAATTTGCATTTGGTGATAATCGAACTTAAAACCCTTCATATACAAGTGAAGAAGAATACCATTAAACCGTAGCATTAAACCATAGCATTAAACCATTAAACCATTATTCCCACTCCAATGTCTTATCTTCCCACCCACATTTTTATGAATTTTTTAATTACAAATTTGTCCATATGTAAAATGACTAATAAGGACTTTAGTTACCCCCTTTTCCGTTACTTTTTTTTTTATAAAAAAGAAAAAAGAAAAGTTTGAACGTGAGAATATGTTTAGAAAATTTGTCTCCCTTAAACCCTAACTCATTCTTCCCATCTCCTTTCATTCAAAGAAAACAAAATCATCCAGAGAAAGCAAAAGGAATGAACTTAGAAGATGACGTTTCTATGGAAGAAGTAGATGATCATGTTTCCGTCGAAGAGGTAAAAGATAATTTTATGTGGGTCATCTTGATTTGTCGACATCGTACAATTGAAGCATAACTCTGTGACTTTTTATTTGAATTTGCATTAGATTAGGGTGCAATTTGTTTTTTAATGAGAATTTATGGAATTGAAGCATAGCTTTGTCGACATCATTCATTAGGTTAGGGTAAATTTGTTGCATACTGTTGTAGGCATGGTTGATTAGAATTGAAAACCTAAACAGCGGGAGGCGTGGTTGATTTTTCATTAGCCCCATACTTACCACAAGCACCACCTATCTCTCCTTTTTTTTTTTTTTTTTTTTAATTTTTTTTTTTAAAACTGGATATGCGTGCAAACATGGTTCCTCTGGGATCTTCGAAGGTTGGTGTCCATTAAGATGGTGAATGTGACGATGATGATCCACCAAGGAATCTCTCGCTTTAAGTTAGAATTGAAGCCGAATTAAGCTTCAATTGTTGCATATTGATGTCGACAGTAAATTTGTTTTTTAATGAGTTTATGACAATACAAAAAGGCATTGACCTGTAATTGAAATAAAAAAATATGGTTCTTTTATGATGTAAATTTCTCCGATGTCAACTTGTTTATGAAGTTCATATGGTTCTTTTATGACGTATGGTGGAATTCATTTGTAGCTGGTAGACGAATTTGGTAATAATTCAGCATCTACACGTATGGTGGACTGTACTAGTGAATTTACCACAACTAAGGTAATATTTGCTTGACTATGCAATTGATTCACTTATGCTCTTGTATGTTTATTCATAATGTGCAATTTTGGTGAGGGCCATTGAACTTATATTTGGTACAAGTAAGCATTTATTATGTAGATGGCACATCAATAAGAATGTGATAGCCAAGTTCAAAAAATTATATAAGTCCAAGGAAGATTGCGATAGATTTTTGGAGAAATGGAATACAATGGTTGCATCTTCTACTGAAGTCGATTTCATAAGGCAGACAAGACGAGTTTAGTATGTATCAAGAGATGCTTCAATATGTAATAGATACTTGGTTGAATCCATACAAAGAAACATTCGTTGCAGCATGGATCGATAAATTTATGCACTTTGGGAATACAACCTTAAATAGGTAAGCATTTATCACTTGTTACTTTATTTTCATTTTCATTTTCTAGTGAGATTGCTAAACCCTTGTTACTTTAACAGGGCCGAGTCCTCACATGCCAAATTAAAAAGATATCGTGGAAGTAGCCAAGGAACATTTGAGACATCATGGGAAAGTATACATGCTCTGCTTGGGTTGCAACACACTAAAATCAAGGCTTCTTTTGAGAAAAGTTTGATGGTGGTGCATCATGATTTTAGACATTTAGATTTCATGGAACTTCGTGGCTTTGTCTCAATTAGTGCACTATATATGGTCCTAAAAGAGTACAAGTTGTCCAAAATGAACGGTATTGACTTCGAGGCATGTGGTTGTGTTCTACGTGACACTCATGGATTACCATGTGTTCATGAGATTGTTAGATACATGAGAGATGGTCGACCTATTCCACTTGAGAGCATTGATCCTCATTGGAGGAAACTTGACATGAAGTGTACACCTATAAGAAATGCAGCAGAGTATGGTTATGATATAGAGATGGAGTTGTTTCATGGGCGTTAAATAGAATCTGTTGCAACTGCAAGAATGGTCCTTAAAAGGAAACTTATGGAGTTAGTATTACCATAAATTACTTCAATTGTTGAACCATCAGTGACAACCAAGACTAAAGGTAGGCCAAGTAAAAGGACGAATAAATCTACTCGTTGTGATCCGTCATTGTTTGAGATTGTGGAATCGGAGCAAGGAAGTTATTCAGTTCGTGATCTTTATCCTGAAATGAGTTCAAAACAAAAGAGGCAACCAAAGGAGAAGGTGCATCGCGCTCGTTCAGTTAAGCCAATTAAGTTAATTAATGCATTTCCAGTAGCATTGAGGCCATACATTATTCTTGTAAAAGATGTGGCAGCTGATGGACATTGCAGTTTCAGAGCAATTGCATCATTATTGGGTTATAATGAGGATGGATGGGTACAAGTGTGAAAAGATTTATTACAAGAGTTAGAGACTTACTCAAGTTGCTACTCCAAGCTATATGGATGTGAAAATAGGGTCCATGAGTTGAAGCATGCATTGAGATATTTTGAAACTCATGCAAACATTGATCGGTGGATGACTATGCCTGACATGGGACATATTATTGCATCATGCTATGGTGTGGTACTTATCCACCTATCAGATGTACAGTGTCTTACAGTTTTACCTCTTAGAACATAACCTATGTCACTAGCAGCACGAAAGGAGATCGACATCGGATTCACCAATCATCATTTTGCATGTGATCTTATAAGGATTGAATGCATTTACTTTAAGTTTAAGTAATAAATTTCTTGTAGTCTAGTTTAATTAAGTTGTACTTTTATGCAGGTGTTCTTGAAATCAGGTAATCCAATTCCTCCTATAGTGACAAATTGGGAAAGATACTGTGAACCATGGTGTTTAGAATGGGCTACTCCGTGCGTTGCTCGTATACAACAATTCAAATTTATTATAGGGCCTACTATTATAACTAGAGAAATCATGGAGCTTGACGAAAATTGAAGCTGGTAAGCAGTGCCATCATGCTGATCCATCGAAAAATTCCATATTATGTTCATAATATTTTTTTTTTCCAGTAAACTCCTGCTTTCGATGTTTTTCTGTATTTGTCTGACTAAATTGCTCTTGGTTTGTTCCTCAAGGAATATGAATTGGGATTTTTTTTCTGTCTTGTTTTGCTTTAGAATTCGTGCTCTTCTTTTAAATCCATGTTTACAGTTTAGTGTTTTTTTTTCTTGGAATAATTACTAAAATGTTTTTATCCCTAGGATTTTGGTTGCCCAATCCAGATACTTTTTGCTTCTTACTAAGGAGACCCACAACATAAGAAAGTGATAGGGAAATAGAGAATGAAATTATTCAAACTATGAAATTATGTGTGCCGTGTGCAAAGAGAATCATGATTAAAATACAAAGGATACGTTTTTCTGATTGCGACGGTGATGATGTGTGCTGTGTTCAAAGAGAATGATGATTAGAAGAGTAATATTATTTGTTTATATTATTTTCTTAAGAGAAATTTATCTCTAATTATGTATATAGGGTTATTTAGGAATAATAGTGGGTGGAGAAATAACATTTTAATTTTTTAACTTTTTATAGTGGGTGTAAATATAATGTGGTTGGGGAAATAAAACAACGGGATGAGTTTAGCAGCTCTTACTTTGAAATTGCACCTAAAAGAGGCATTACTATTAATAGATTGGGGTGAATGGGTACTTATTTCTACCCCTAATAATTATTCTGCCACGTAAGCAAGTCTGGCGTGGAAAAACCATCCGGGCCGGTTATTAAGGCCAATACTATAATATATTAATACATGTATTCAATGATATTTGCATTTGTCATTTTTTCATTTTGGGAATCGTTTTAATTAAAAAACGATTTCCATTCCACCATTAATTTGTTGATACATATTCTCACATTTTCAAAGTCAAGCACATTTATAATTCTTTCTATTTCTTCGAAAATATATTTATGATTCAGAAATTACTATCATCACCAGCCCATATGAAGTAACAAGAGCTATTACCAGCAAATCAGTATTAAAATTTCATACTACAATTGATTAAATA